CCAATTTCAACTCAACAATTTCAGTCAGAAATATCTACTTAGCACTCAGCATTCAGCATTTGGCAATACCTCAGCCCAAATTTCACCAATTGGCCAATTTCTACTGCACACAACACAACAATACCCAAAATGTAGTATTAAAAAAAAAAGAATAAAATTCCAAATCGCAAGCTAGCAGGCAATAGCAATACCCAAAATGTAGCAATTTTATCAAAGAACAAATCTAATATTATCTCAAGACTCAAGCTACCAATTACCATCACCAATAATCCAAGCCTAAAAAAATTAAGAAAATACCTGATTCGATTTCGGGGGGAGGACTCGAGGAGAGAAGTCACTCATTGGCTCATTGCAGAAGAGGCGGACTGACGGACTCGGAGGCTAGAGGAAAATTCAAATCGCATAAATTAAAGGTTTCATTTTTCTCAACCAACACAAAAAAACTCAAGGGAGAAACAAGAAAAGAAAAGAAAGGAAAAAAAAAAGTTTTTTCTACCTTCTGCGAATCTGAAGTTCTGCTGAGCCGTGGAGGTGGAGACGGATGTTGAGCGGAGGTTGCGAAGATGCCAGAGTGGTCAGTAGAGCTGTGGTCCTGTGGAGGTCAGTGGAGCTGTGGAGGTGGAGGTGGAGGCGGAGCTGTGGAGGTTACGGTCAGTCGAGCAGAGGAGTGGAATTATGAGTGCGATATGAATTGTGAACGTGGTTTAAAATTTTGGAATTAGGCTCAATGTTTTGGGTTGTTTCTCTTGGGCTGGGACGGGGACAGCCTACAACTACAAAAATAAAAAATTCATCCCAAAAATTTTTTGAGGCCAGAAGTTCAGGATGGGTCTGTGCCCATCCTAGGCCTAACGTGGCTCCGCCCCTGTGTGTGATCTCTTTCGTAAACCAAACTCATTGCTTCCTGATTTTTATTTTTTTTAATGCTATATGTGATACGTAAATTTGAGATTTCTCTCCCATTTTAACTTTCTTTACAAATTGATTAAGTAGGGCAAAACTTTTATAAAGTAATAATGTTGAAAACTTGAATAGTTATTATTTTAAAGAAGTTATTAATTTATAAAGTATTTTATATTTTTATAACCCGTGCTATATTTTTTCATAATGCATGTAGGAAATTTTTAAAAAAATAATGATGAAATTTAAAATTTAATACGTAAGCACACAAAAGGAATGCACATACATAAATTATAGAGGAAGCATTAATGTACATATATTGACTTCAAAATTTAATATATTGAAGGAGTAATCTTTCAAGTTATTTCATATATACATAGAACATAATTTCTATGGTCATAATTTTAAATAATTATTGTGTACAAAATGAAAAAAAAAATGCTCAAAGTAATGTTTGCATTGCAAAAAATTAGGAATAAAGTTGAGTTTGATATGAGTGCAAAGAAAAAGCAAAAAACCTTATATACATATTTTGAAAAAGACGCAAATTGAAAGAAATGTTATCAAGTTAAAATTTTATTAATTTGTATTGGTATGATTTTTTATGAATTTAAGCGGTTATTATTTTGTATATTCCTTAACTTTTAATGGATCTAGAAAAAAATTATTATCTTTAGTACACCGATCCAAGTCAAGATCGAAAAAATTTATTTTTTAAACGAGATTCTTAATTTATTGAACATTCATTTATTGATGTTTTACTGTAGTGTTTTTGGTTAGAAAATGTTAAACATGTTAAGCCCCTATTTAATAGTCATTATTTTGGGAAATAAAATGAGTTTTGAATAGTATTTTGTTGGAATGCGTGGATAAAAGTAAAGAAAGCTTTGAATTTATGTACAAAATATTTTATTAGGTAAATGTGTTGTTAAAAATAAATATAAAAATTAAAGAGTTGAAATAATGATCGTCAAACATGGACTAAGTATGAAATTATATTGAGGCCAACAATGTATTTCTATGTACAAGGATATTTTAATGATTTACATATTATATTTTCATTTTTTTTTAATATCTTTAGACCTCTTAGGTAAAAAAATGTTGGGCTTTTTAAATGAATACTTGCTTTTGTAGATTTTTTAAAGGAAAATATCACATATACATTCTTTCCTTAACATGATTGTTGACATTGTCAATATTAGCAAGTATTGATTATGTGAAAAAATTGTATAAAATTTAAATTGTTCAAAGATGTGGTGTCCTGTGACAAAGTATAAAAGAAAATATAAAGGATCCCCAAAATTAAAAAATGTAGTTGACATTTTTAAGTTGACTTTGAAGCCCCGTGAGGCGTGACATAAATTATTCTTTATTCAATTATTTTTGTCCTTTTTCTCTGAAGTGCAACTGTGTGATTTCATTCTGAAACACGGATGATCCGCGGAATGAAATATAAAACAACCTGAAGGATACACAATCCTGAAAAGGAAAATGGTCCCTTAGGGCTGCAAGACGTCATTATTCATTTCAGGATAACCCTAAAAAATTAAAGCAAGATAGTCACACAGAAACGTAAAAGAGCACGGCAAGAACAATACGTAATCCATTTTATTAATTACACACGATTTAATTATACAAAAACTTGTAAAATATAGTAGCATTTTCATCTCAAGCGCGTTGTGTTAGTACAAGAATTATTTTCAAAATAAATATGTAAAGTATCGGTTACTTTTTTAAGAGAAATAACTCAAATCTTATCTTATCTTGATTATTATTGGTAGCTCCTTTGAAAAAGCCTATTCTCGAATTCTACTAATTTGTTAGAACTTTAGACGGATCAATTGTCCATTTGAACTTTTTTAAATGCCGTAAAAAGTTTACCTCAATAGTCAATACTCG